CACAAAGGACTTTAATCCTGGAAAACAACCACTAGTTGAAGAACAATCTGAGATAGAATCTCAAAATGGAACAGACTTACAAGGGATACCCATAACCTCTACATCTCTAGTGGATCCTTTGGGTGCAACGAACCTACCATCTCACGATGGATGTTCCTAGGCTAATGATGATCATAGGATCAATCTAATTAATAAAATTAATTTCTAAAAATGGCATTCTAAAGTAAAAATCATCATTGATAATGATTTTGAATTAGAAACCATTGCCTTGATTGATACTGGTGCAGACGTAAACTGTATCCAAGAAGGCATTATCCCAACTAAGTATTATCAAAAAACCATTGAAAGACTTAGTTCAACAAATGGTAGTAAAATGAATGTTAAATACAAACTCCCAAGTGTGCATATCTATCAAGATAATGTATGTTTCAAAACATCATTTATCATAGTAAAAAATATGACTGATGATGTTATCCTTTGTTTACCCTTTGTATACTTATTGTACCCTTTTACAACAGATACAAATGGCGTAACCACGAAACCGCTTGGTCAGACAGTAACATTCAAGTTTACAACCAAACCTGAAACTAAAAAATTAAGACAATTTAAAGATCATTCAATCTCTAAGTATCTTAATCTAATTAATCAAAAAACTTGACAAATGAAATTTCTCAAAGAAGAAATTAATCACATGAGAGTTCAAGAACAATTAAAATCCAATCTTAATTGAAAGGATTAACCAGTTTAAAGAAAAACTTGAAGCAGAAGTATGTTCTAACCTTCCTATAGCTTTTTGGCATAGGAAAAAACACATAGTTAAGCTTCCATATATTAAAGGATTTAAGGAACAAAATATTCTAACTAAATTCAGACCCATCCAAATGAGCTATGAAGTAATGAAAATCTGCAAAAAAGAGATTTCTGAATTATTCAAAAATGGTATCATTCGGAAGGGTAGATCTCCTTGGTCATGTCCAGCTTTCTATGTCATCAAAAATACAGAATTAGAAAGAGGCATATCAAGGCTAGTAATTAATTATAAACCTTTAAATTTTGTATTGGAATGAATCAGGTACTCAATTCCAAACAAACATGATTTAATTAAAAGACTTAGTAACTCAGTAATCTTTTTCAAATTTGATTTGAAAAGTGGTTACTGACAGATTCAAATCTATCCAGAAGATAGGTATAAAATTGCATTTATAACTCCCTTTGGTCATTAAAAATTGGAATGTAATGTCCTTTGGATTGAAAAATGCACCTAGTGAATTTTAAAATATAATGAATGAAATTTTTAACTCCATTAGTCATTTTTCTATAGTCTATATAGATGATATTCTCATCTTCTCTAGATGTATAGAAGAACACTAGAAGCACCTCTATGCATTCCTTGAGATTGTCAAACACAATGGTCTTGTCATCTCAGCTTGTAAAATCATGTTGTTCCAAACCTCAGTAAGGTTCTTAGGATACAACATCCAGCAATCCACCATTATTCCCATCAGCAGGTCTATCTAATTTGCAGATAAGTTCCCTGATGAGATCACTGATAAAACCCAGTTCCAAAGGTTTTTAGGTTCCCTAAATTATGTTTCTGACTTCTATCAGGATCTTAGAAAAACTATCAAACCTCTGTATGACAGACTCAAAGGAAATCCTCCTCCTTGGACATTTGTTCATACATCTATTGTCCAACAGGTCAAGCAGTTCATTAAAACTTTGTCTTGCCTTGGCATTCCTTCGGTTGATTCCTTTAAAATCATCCAAACTGATGCCTCCGACATTGGCTACGATGGTATGTTACTTCAAAAACTTACTCCAGACTCCCCAGAGCAAATTGTTCGTTTCCACTCTAGTATCTAGAATAAGGCACAAGCAAACTATAGCACTATTAAGAAAGTGATCTTAGCTATTGTCCTGTGTATCTCAAAATTTCATGATGATATATTAAATCAGAAATTCTTAGTCTGAGTAGACTGCAAATTAGCAAAGTATGTTTTAGAAAAAGACGTACAAAATATTGCTAGTAAGCAGATTTTTGTCAGATGGCAATCTATTTTAAGTATTTTCGATTTTGACATCAAGTATATTAAAGGCAATAATAACTACATCCCTGATTTCCTAACCCGTGAATTTCTGCAGGAACCTCATGGCGGACAGGAAAAACAATAACGCTGCTACCTCTTCCAAAGCCGGGAGGGATACAAGAAAACAAAAACTTAGTCAAATATTTGCCTAAGAAAAGGCAAACTTGGACAAACAGTTAGCCTTGCCAAGCCCACTAGTCTTGCCAAGCCTAAAACCTTTATCCTCTGCTATCCAGATTATTAATCGTTTTCAACCCCTTGGTAATCCTAACCCAACAAGACCAGTAGCCAAAACTATTACAGTGCCACCTAGCATTTTCCTCCAAATGGCCTAGCAGGCCCGAAGACCTGTTGTACCAATCCAACCTAGCACTTCTAACCAATTGGTAAATCCGTATTCTAGACACCAACCCCAGTTTGTCCCTAAAGGCCCAAAAGTTGACTACATCAAAGCTTATACCCAAAATATATTTGCTATTGAACCAGTCCATGCTCACTTAAGCGACCCAATAGACTTAGTCACTGCTTACCTTGAGCTATGATGAACCTTTATTCCATCTGATCCTAAAAAGACCTTTCAGTTCTATCAGGATATACTACTCTATACTCAGTCCCTTTTTGTCAAGCTCATACCTGATAAAAATGATTTGAGTAAAGTTTTTATCACTCTTTAAATATTTTAAAAATTCTTTCTCTCAAAGATTGGGGATCTCATCCTTCTTCACTCCAAAATTTACCCTATTATAAGGAAAAATTTAATTACTATGATTACAAAGAATCATGATATAAAATTATCCTCTACCAGAATGATTCTTTTAAATAATTCTTGGTTCCTACAGTTCCATAAAGATTTCAAGAGCCAAATTCTCTCCTGGTTTTAACAGTGGTGGTTTATTCACGGCCCCATTCATGAAATCTTCTCAGCTGATCTTCAACATCAGATTATAGTCTTCTCCTTTATTTATCGGCCTAGTAAACATGAGAGTCAGTTTCCTATTTTATTGATATGTATTTGCAGGTACAAAGTCTCATGAATATGCAAATGAAAATGGAAAATTATTGGTTATAATGTCGCCAGACAATTCTATGTCAAATGGTGGCCCAGGTTCCAGCAAGGACCAATAGTTGACCTTGTTAGACATGAGTTCCCAGTCAACGTTCCAACCCCAGTAGCGGTTCCAACAACCTTAACCCTTGCAACTCCAGTCAAGTAAGTCATGTCTTCTCTTAGGATTTCTACTCCATAAGAGCTCAAGAAATCCACTACAGAAGAGCCCAAGTAGAAGAAGTCCTCTTCTAAGGACTCCAACAAGCAATCAAATAAGAAGTTTACTACCCTCATTGAGCTAGCACAAAAGCTTTTTCAACAAGCTGCCAGTGAAAGCAGTTCCTTTGCATCCTCACAGGCATCAGTCACTCCTACATTGGATCCCTTCTAAGACAGTCAAGATCCTTATGCAGGATATGATGATTTGGTAGATATATCTACCCCATAATGGTACTTGTCCATATATGTGATAGCTTTACTCACTACTTTCTTCATTAAAGAAAGAAAAAGTGTCTATTGCATATATTGGTAAGGAATCATTTGGTCCAATGACCCTTTCCTCTAAAAGCAGCCGCCAATCTTGTCCAAATCTGTTTTTCACCGAAAGTAGATTCCTTCAGACAACAGCAGGACCTACCTGCCACTAAAGTCAGCATTCACTTTGGTAAAAACAATTCACCTCCACTTTCCACCAAAAGGATAAGGTGAAAACACTTTACCCAAGTTAAAGCATTTACAGAAGACAATGGAGTAAACATTCCAAAGATTCCTTCAGAATTCCTTACGTTTATATAAGGACTTCAATCTTCACTATCTGCTCAAGCTTTGCTTCACCTGAGCTTTGACGTCTAAGAGCTCTCTTAAGCCTTTCTAAACACTAAGCTCACTATCCCTATACACTATCCCCAAATTGTAAGAAGCCTTCATAATGATGCAAATGAAGAGTCTCTCATTCCTATCCCATTACATCCACTAGCCCACTAGTGCTAGTGTTGTAAGTATTTTATTTCTGTTATTGTATTTTGTATCTTGTTCATAAAAACAAGAATTTATAAAGGTTTTTAAATTACCATTCTATATCCACAGCTTGTGATTCTCTTAGTATTCACATGTCTTCCGCACTTGTTCTATTTTGTATATAGTTTTTAGGTTAATGTATAATTTTCAAATTTAAAGGGCCAATTTTGGAAGTATAAAGTGTAATCCTAGAAAGTTGACGGGGGCCATAGTAGCAAAGCTTGGCTCCATCACTGCCCGGGTGTAAAGGATGGTAGCCCATGGCACACCTATGCCAAAGCTTGGCTCCATCACTACTAGGGTGTATAGGATGATAGCCTACCTGATATTGGATCCACTTCAATACACTCTCATTGATGACAAGTGATTTATTACGAATCCAAATTGACATATCATCGATACATGATTTGTATTTTGGTAGTGAGAGAAATTCACAAAATATGTATTGGAGAATATCTACATGTTTTTTTTAGTAATAAACATTTATGTGTGGACATACCGTAAGAACTCGAGAGCTCATTAATGTGGACATACCGGAAGAACTCAAGAGCACATGAATGAGCTAAGAGTTAGTTAGGAATTACTCAAGAGCACATGGATGAACTGAGAGTCAGTTAGAATTTTTTGATTTTGTGTATAGCATTTCGACAGTTAGTTTTGGTTTACAATTTCTTAAACATCACACTTGTAATTAAATAAGTGCATACAGATCTGTAAAAGACTACTACTTCTTGTATAATGCCTAATATTTTACCTTGTTTCTTAAAGGTTTCATAGTCAAAGTGCTTATGAAGCTCAAGCAAACTTTCCTCTGTCTTGACCACAGAACCAAATGCAGAAACCTAACCATGAATGTGAGAGTAGAGAGCTCAAGGATCATTAAACCCTCTTACCAAGGCTTTCCTCCCCCAACCACAATCCACATTCCCCTAAGTGTCTTCGATAAGGTCACTTTCGTTACCCATGTAGCACTAATCTATGCCTATCGTTCCCCAAACCCACCAAATATAACCCTAGAGCTAGGGCTTCAAAAAGCCTTATCAGTCTACAGAGAGTGGGCTGGAAGGTTTGGTGAAGACAATAATGGTGGTCCTGTCATTCTTCTCAATGATGAAGGCATGAGGTTTGTGGAGACATCGGTTGATAGCACTCTTGATCAAGCCATGCCATTAAAACCTTCAGAATCTTTATTAAGCCTTCTCCCAAGCTTAAAAGGAGTGGTAGAATTAGTCCAAGTTCAGTTCACAAGGTTCACTTGTGGCTCATTGGTGCTGGGCTTCACAACACACCACCGTGTGGCTGATGGGCATTTCATAAGCAATTTCTTGGTTGCTTGGGGACAAGCTTGCTGAGGAATTGATATTAGTCCACTCCTTTTGCAGGATCGGACCATCTTCTCCCCTCCAAACCGGCCTCGTTTCTAGTTTGATCGCAGAGGAGTGGAGTTTATAAACAAGAAACTTGATAAGATTTATCCTGTGATGATAACTTCATGGATCGAGATCAAGACATTGTGGTGCACAAAGTTCATTTTACCTTACAGTTTCTCGCTAAGCTTAAGGCCAGAACTTATTTAATGAATGGTGCTAACAAGCCCTATAACACTTTTGAGAGCCATGTTGCTCATCTGTGGAGAGCCATCACAAAGGCACGTGCCTTAAGTGGGTTTGAAACCACCCACATAAGAATCGCAGTCAATGGCTGCACACGATTGAACCCTAGAGTACTCGATGAGTACTTTGGTAACCTTGTGCTCTGGATATTCCCATGCGCCAAGGTGATGAACCTTTTGGGGGAGCCATTGCCCTATGCTACGAAGCTCATCCACGACGCAGTGGCAAAGGTGAACAACAATTACTTCAAATCATTCATCGACTTTGCAAGCTACAAGGTGGAAGAAGAAGATCTCATTACCACGACTGATGCGGATGCTCCTGTTCTATGCCCTAACTTGGAGGTGAATTGTTTGATAAGGCTTCCATTTTATGACCTAGACTTTGGAGAAGGACGTCCTTACATTTCCATGCCATCTTATACCCCAATCGAGGGCTTCTTGTTTCTTCAGCAAATTTGGGACAACTTGATCACCTTAGAGCAAATTTGCTACTCTATAGAGTTGTTTGGACCTAAAATATAAAATTATAAGAATATTAAAAAAAAATAAGGGATTAGACTATATACACAACTGTGTCTACAATTATGTATGTCACTTGGAATTGGATGCTTAGCTTTTTCTCTCTCAATTTTCAGCACAATTGTGTTTGTGCTTGATGATGTTTGGATTCAGAGTACGAGCCAGGTGCTTGAACTGAGGCGCTCAAGACTTGGTGGTATCATTTTGGTAAGTGTGTGAAGGTTGGTGGTTAATTCGTAATAGAGGCTTTTAGCAAGCATTCAAATAAAACAAAGAAAATGGTTGAGTTAGGGATACTAGAGAACATAGGAATTGTAGTGGTTCACCAACTATAAATCTTGACTAGTCCACTCTAATGGAGTCTCTTGCTACTGGAGATTTTGTATATTTCTTGGAGAAAAAGGATTGATTATAGTGTTTTTCCCATGCCCTCTCTTGACTAAGGGTCTTGGTATTTATATGTGATAATGACGTCACCATCGGGTAGTCTCCTAATTTGTTAGGATTTTGTTGAGAAAATATTTGGGTCATTTGAGTCTATAGTCCCTAAACCGTTAGAGGCTACATTCTCTAGAAGTGACGTGGTTTTCTAAAACATGATGTGGTGGCATGATGACCTATCTTCTAGACTGGACATGTGACGGTCTCATATGCCTCTGGCCATCTGTTGAGTATGCTTTGGGCCGAACTCTCCCATTGAGGTTAGCTCGTTGGCTCAGTCAGTTGTCCCGATCTCGTAACACTCGTAACATTAATTCTCTTCGGGATTTTATGGGGTGACCTGAACAATTCTCCTTGAGGTCATCATAGACCAACCTGGGCTTCTCACCTTGCGTAATCTTCATCATATAGTTTCAAGATGAATCAATTACTTTGACTAAATTGTCATTATTTGATGGTGCCATTTTCTAGAAATCATCTGTGCCTATTGTTATACACAAACGTTATTGTATTTGTTGTTGCTATTAAGAAACTATGTCTTTTTTTCAGAAGTAAAAATTTCATTGATCAAAAGAGTTTGCAAGCAAAAAGCCTCTACAGAGCCAAAACAGTGTGTACACATTAAAACATATAACACAAGGGTCACAAAGAGCAGAACAAAACTAGAAGCTCAGGCCAGCTGACCGCAAAAAAGCATAGCCAAATAAGGCTTGTTAAGACATGAGGTGGGGAAGGTTCTAGTTGCGCACAAGCTGCAGTTTCTGGAAGGAATTCTTGACCTTCAAAACAGAAAACCTCTCCCTTATGGTATTTTGAATTCTGTGGAGGCCTACTCATCCATTAGCTCCTCTCATTGGTGCAGTTTTACGAAGCTTCTAAGGACAGTTCACTCGCGTTATCCTCTCATCAACAAATTCATTGCAAAATATTTGGTTGTTTCTCTCCCTCCACATGCTATAAACAACTATAGCAAGGCATAGCTTGAGAATATCTATCCTAAGGATTTTCCTTTCCAATTAGAGCTCACCCATTCAACCAGGGTCATTCCATTTAGCTGAGATCCCTGATGGTCACACAGTATCATCAATTGGTCTCATATAACTTCTGAGAAAGGGCATGCATAGAAGAGTTAGGCGTGAGATTCAATAGACTGCCTACATAGTATGCATACTAAGTTCACTTGGGGAGCAAAATGGACAATTCTATCCTTTGTACTGAGCTTATTTTTGATAGCAAGCCACAAAACAACACTCATCGTAGGTATATTCTATTGGTGCCACAACAACTTATGCACAATAGATTTTGTAAAGCCAGATCTCATTGTTGCATTATTTTTAGTCTCATTTTTATACCCAAAACAATAGTCCAGAGAAAAAAAAAAAAGCAAGACGTACAATAGATTTTGTAAAGCAAGATCTGAAGTAATTTTATCTTAGTTAAACTTAACTAAGAACAAGAGAAAGAGAGCATATAAAGAACAAAAGAAAATGGGAGAAGGTTATCTTTTTATTAAAGAATGATCTACTAAAATACATGAGTTTGCAACTAAAAACTAGAAATAAAAGTAACAAACTCCCTAAACTTTAGGTACTAGCATTAAAAACTAGTAAATAACATAAAATCAAAACAAATCTCCTAAAAACTTGGTCAAGGAGTATATAATGCACTGAATATCAGTTGTAGCCCTTAAAACCTGATCTTAAAGACACCTGACATTCAAACCTGAGCTTGCAGCCTCAGTTTCACATGTGCAGCCACCTCTGCTAGCCATGTCAGCATCCATATCAGCAACCTTACAGTTACTGATGCACACATTCAACACTCCTCCTTGCATCAGTGGGTGGAGATTCCAAGTTTCTCTCTTAGAAACTCAAACATGCTTCTAGGAAGAGCTTTAGTGAAGATATATGCTAGCTGGTTTTTAGTCTTGCAATACTTCAAACACACTGCACCATCTTTTTGAACATATCTGAGAAAGAACAACTTTATACTGAAATGCTTTGTTTTTCCATGAAAAACTGGATTGTTGGAGATGGCTTGCTTGGTTGTCCACCATCACCTCTGTACTCATCCCTTGCTCCAAGTGTAAATTAATTAGAATTTTTCTTAGCTGTAAGGCTTGATTAACAGCAGTTGTGGCTGCTATAAACTTTGCTTCAATTGTTGATTGTGCAACAATTTCTTATTTTTTCGAACACCAATAGAACACACCTAATCCAAAGCTGAAACAATAGCCTGAGGTACTTTTCATGTCATCTAAAGACCCTGCCCAATCACTGTCAGAGTAACCCTGTAGCTTGAAACTCTAACATGTACTGAACTTGATAACATAACTTAAGGTTCCCTTGACATACCTTAGAACTCTTTTTACTGCTTTAAAATGACTTTCACTCGCACAATTCATGAATCTTGATAGTATACTTACAACATGCAAGATATCTGGTCTTGTTGCTGTGAGATACATTACGCAGCCAAATAAACTTCTGTAGAGAGTTTCATCTACTTGTTCAACTCCATCATCCTTGCACAACTTCTCATTTTGACACATTGGAGTACTCATGCTTTTACAATTCTCCATGTTAAATTTCTTTAGGATCTCCTTTGCATACTTCCTTTGATAGATGAAAATTTTATCCTCTTCCTGTTTAATCTCCATTCCAAGGAGGTACGACATTTCTCCCAGGTCAGTCATCTCAAAGACTTTCATCACGTCTTCTTTGACGTGCTAGATAACTTCAACATTGTTACTTGTAACTAGAAGATCATCAACAAACAAGGAGATCACAATTAAGTTAGCTTGATCACCTTTGACATATAAAGTTGATTCACTAAGGCTTTTAACAAAGCCTAAGTCCAACAAATGCTCATCAATTCTGTTGTACTAAGCCCTTAAGCCCTGTTTTAAACCATACAAAGCCTTCTTAAATAGATAAACCTTGTTCTCATGCCCTTTCACAGCAAAACCTTCAGGTTGCTTAACAAAGATTTCTTTCTCTAGAAATCCATTTAGAAATGCTGATTTCACATCAACTTGGTAGATTTTTCATCTTTTTTGTGTTGCAATGGCTAACAACAAATTGATTGTGTCTAGCCTTGAAACAGGGCAAATGTATCAAAAAAATCCACACCAAAAACTTGAGCATTCCTTTTTTCCACTAACCTCGCTTTGTGCTTGTTAATTGAGCAATCTACGTTTAGCTTTGTTCTAAACATTCACTTAACTCCAATCACCTTTCTGTGTTCAGGCCTTTCAACAAGTTCCCAAGTTTGATTTTTTTTCAATCATGGAGAGCTTCTCCTACATTGTTGCCCTCCATTTGGGATCCTTTTTAGCTTCCCCAATACCCTGCAGGTTCAAGAATTGTAACGTTGCATCTCTGATAAACATCAAAGATCAATCTAGTGTCTCTTACAGGAGGGTCATCAACTAACTCATCCTGATTTTGTATAGGATCAGCAATCAACTTTTTTTCTACAGTATTCCAGCTCCATTGCTCATTCTCGATGAAGTGGACATCCCTGTTTATCATAATTTTCCTTGTGTGCGATTGGAAAACTTTGTAAGCCTTGGATATTGAGCTATATCCCACAAAGATGCCAGATTTAGCTTTCTTATAAAGCTTGTCTCTTTTAATCTGTGGCACATGAGTAAAACACAAGCATCCAAACACTTTAAAATTTTGCAAAGAAGGCTTGTAATCATACCAGGCCTCAAAAGGAGTCTTCCCATTCACTTCTTTGGTGGGAAGTTTGTTTTGTAGAAATACTGCAGTGTTTGCAGCCTCTGCCCAATACTTCTTAGGCAATCCTTTTTCATAGAGCATGCACCGGACCATTTCCACAATTGTTTTATTCTTCCTTTCACTTTTTGTTGTGGAGTGTATGGCTCAGTGAGTTGATGCTCAATGTCTGCTTTATCACAAAATAAGTTAAATTGTTCTAAAGTATATTCTTTGTCATTGTCATACCTTAGAACTTGAATCTTGCAGCCACTTTGGTTCTCAATCCACTGCTTGAATTTAGAAAAAAACTCCTGCAACTTCTGACTTAAATCTAAGAAAATAAATCCAACACATTCTGGAGAAGTCATCAATAAAAACTATGTAATATTTACTCCCTTTAAGTGAAGGAGTTCTCTGAGGTCCAGCCAGATTAGTTTGGATGAGTTGCAGCTTCTCAGTTGCTCTCCAAGTTGACTGTGAGAAGGGTAATCTTGCTTACTTGCCAAACTGACAAGCCTTGCAATTTGGCACATCAACTTCCAAGTGAGGCAAACCCTGAACTAGCTGTTTCCTCTGCATAGACAAGATTGCTACATGATGAAAATGACCTAGTCTTTTGTGCTAGGTTTCTGTGTTGCTCATAGCAATAGAATAAGCTGCTTGCTCCTCCTTCATTGGATCTAGTGAGAAGCTTTTGCCTCTAATTTTGATTCTTAAGACTTCCTTATCATTGGCATCCTTGATTAGACATTTCTTATCTTCAAAGATGACTTTAAATCCCTTCTCAAGTAACTTTCCCACACTTAGCAAGTTTTGGTCAATATCAAGTATAAACAAAAC